TGTTTAACTGAAACTTCAATTAGAGTTTGTATTGTAAAAAAAGGAATTAGGTAGAAAACTATTTCAATGATGCATTGTAACTTGGAATTATTTACACTGGATTTACTTTGTATCCTGCGAAGAGTCAAATGATTGTCTTATTTTCTTTCATATAAGCAATTTAGTGTAGACACAGTTTTGGGGGCTGAAACTATAAGGGACAAATACTGGAAGAAAATAGAGCCCTGTGTTCATGAATTAAAATGATTAAATATAGCTTTTTAAGGAACAGAAATTCAAGGAACTCTGTTTTTCATATAAATGCCTAATCATTTTTTTTTTCCTGAAGATTTGTGAGAAATCAGGATATTGTCCTCAGTGTTCTTATTGTATTTTCAGAGCTTAATTTAAACACCTAAAATAATTTTTTTTTTTTAAATTTTTTTTTTTTTTCTCAACGTTTTTATTTATTTTTTTTGGGACAGAGAGAGACAGAGCATGAACGGGGGAGGGGCAGAGAGAGAGGGAGACACAGAATCGGAAACAGGCTCCAGGCTCCGAGCCATCAGCCCAGAGCCTGACGCGGGGCTCGAACTCACGGACCGCGAGATCGTGACCTGGCTGAAGCCGGACGCTTAACCGACTGCGCCACCCAGGCGCCCCCTAAAATAATTTTTAAATATGCTCACTTATTAATTCATTATGCTCTTCACTGATTCAACAAATGCTGATTGAGCATTTCCTGTATTCCAGATGCTGTGCAAGAGAATATACAAGACATATCAAGAAGCCTACATTCTACTGAGACATAATGCCAAACATATAAGCAGTTAAAATATAGTAGGATGAGCAGTATGATAGAAATAGGCACCAGGGCTGTGGTGGTACTAGGAATCACTCAACTAACAAAAGTTTAGCCAAGGAAGGCTTCATGGAGGGAATGGGCAGTCGCTGGGTATGGGAGGTAAAACAGGAAAGGAGATGCAGAGTTCCAGGCAAAACATTCCCAGGCAGAGAGAACATAAAAGCTTGGCAGGCTCAAGAAGTTACATGTTGGTCTCTGATTTTACAGGTAACCAAGACCATGAGCTATTGAACAGTTTGGCCACAGCCAAACAGCAGATTTCGAGCTGGAGACTTAGTATGACAGATTTCCAGTGCAGACAGAACTATTGTTGTATCTGTACAAAGAGAGTACATTGAGCATGACAATAATAAGTTTCATTCACCTGTCAGAATACCCTGCAGATGTTCTATTGTCTAATTATAACCACACATGACCATCTAAAATTAACATAACATCAGTTTCCAATATAAGTCAGTGCTATAACAAATGAAAAGTAATGTATGGCATAAAGATCAAGTTGGTTATTTATATTCAGTATATCACAAGAGATAAGATACTAGTTAAATTTCTGGCTAAGTTAATGTGTTTATTGAATATCATGTCTCTATAGACATGTTTCTTTTTAATCCATGAAAATATGATTTATCCAGAAATTTTTTGCACTCTGTAAAATACCAAACTATTGATTCACAAATTTATCTTAATTATGTCAAATTGTTATAATTTTAAAGTAAAGTTGTCGATTAAAATATTGTGATATGTAGTTTACATATTTGTTGTAAACAGTATCAATTATAATGATGCTGAATATTTTGGCTCATTTAATTACTATTAGGTAATATTTGTGCCTAAAGCCTTATTCTACTTTATGGTTTTTCATTAAAGTGTTTTCCTTTGGAAAGTATTTTATCAAGCATAATTACTATCTATTGCTCTGGATTTATTTTGTTCTTTACAATGATAATAAGCTATGAAAGGAGAATCTTTCCCTTCTGAGGAAAACCTAACATTTCCAACAGAAACACATTTGGTTCAGTTTTACACAGCATAGTTTTTTAGCACCTGTCTGGTTTCTTTGAAGTTCAAGTCATACAGTTCATATTGTGTTATTTGGATTGCTCACAAACTGTTTTCTTTTATCTGAATACAAAAAGGGAAATTGGGTAAAATTGGTAATCTATCATCTTTTCCGTTGTGCAGATAACCTGCCTTGGATATAGTAGTGTTTGCTATCCTAAGGTTGCCATCTAGTGGCTCCAAGGGGTACGTGTTTGTTAAGTTGGTAAAACTGATTAAAACAAGTAAAACTTTGACACAGTGTTTCAGACTGGGTGAATGAAATGAAATTGATGTGAAATAATAAGATTATATTCATATAATAGCGTTTTCAAATATCAGAGTTCTAGAAATAGCTTGAGAAACTAAGTTAAATCAAATATTAAAAGCTTAAGGAATAGAAAACGATCATGATTTTTAAGAATTCTAATTTTGTACCCATTATGCATAAAGCATTCAGCCAAGCCCATATTAGGAAAATAAGTTTTGCTTAGAATAACTATATAAAATGGACTTTATATTTTATATGGGGAATATCATGAAGTTTAATAATTAACAACAAAAATATTTCAGAAAAATCCTCACTCTGGTGGTTCAGTAGTCAGTTAACCCTTTTATGGATCAACTCATTCATTTAGGCCATAATGTTCCCCAAGGCCTTTTAATGAATTTAACATTTTATCCATGCTCAAGTAGTGCAGAATGCATCCCACCTGTGGTTCCTATTCCTAACTATTGATACCATTTTATCTCAAAATATGCCTTCTCTACATACAGATATAACTTTTGGCTGAATATACCACTAACTGACTTTGATATAAATTGTGTCGTTTTTTTTCCCTGTTACCAAAGACTATGTTTAAATAAGAGTTCTGATAATACTTTCCCCTATCCAATTATATTTTAAGTCCAGATATAAAGCATCTTTGTTTTTTCAGTTTCTATTATTTTCTCTATCACACCTCTCACTTAGTATACATTTGAGTATATGAGATGAACTCAGTAAATACAGCTTTCTTTAAACTTGTTATCTTGAAAATTTTCAAATACAAAGAAGAATTGAAAGAGGAATAAAATTTACACCTTTATACCATTTACCTTGATTCATTAATTATTAATATTCTCCCACATTTGCCTCTGTCTCTCTTCTTTCTTTTTATATTTATGTATAGTTTAAAGGTGAATTCCTTTGTGGGAAACCTGGATTTTATTTATGTATTTCCTATATTTATTTAAGTATTCATAGTGTATTTTGTGAACCAACAACAACAAAAACAACAAAAAACTATTTCCTTGCCTCTGTATAAATGAAAATTAATTTATAATTATAACATACCTGAAAACTTATTTTTCTCAAGCCTTCAAATTCAATTTGTATCTCCTTATTCTATTTTTTAAATCTGGTAAAACAAAAGCAATTATTTTCACTTTTTAAAAATTTCAGTTAACTCAAGTTGAAAATAAACTCCTTTGTAAAGTGTCCTGTTTACAACATATTTGATTGCTCTTCCAAATTTTCAACCATACAAAGATAGTCTACTCAAGATTTTTCAGACTTTTAAAGGCCTTAACATAGAAAAAGCCCTTTATAAATGCTGAAATAATTTTTTAAATTGAATTAATAAAATGTATAAACATGATATCAAGTTCTCTTAAATTCTGTTTATATACTTGGTTAAATCTTTATACCTGTAAGTTTAATAATTCTAATTCTAAAATTAAATATTCAATTAAATTCATTAAATAAAAATACAATTCATTTCAATTCTCTTACATGTAAAGCACTTTAAATACCATGTGTACACATATCTGTACACATTCCTTATTTCACAGAAAAACATTAGTATGTTGAGTTCAGTATAGTCATCAGTTATATATTTTTAAACCTTACCAGAGTTATATTCTTTATAAGAATTTTACCACCCTAAATTGAGGTTACTGCTTCTCTCTGCTACTCTCATTTGCTTCTTTTCAGAGCTATTTGCCAGGCATAGGCCCGGGACAATCCTTCTGGCATCACTCATGGGCACACTGATTATCTTTTGTTGTCCCTTTGACAAAAGAGAACTCCAAGTCCCTGATACGTGCTGGTCTTCCTCAGTTCCCTGTATCTTTATGTTATTTTTCTATTTGTTATTTTTATTCCCTTCTCATAAGCTATTTTAATGTTTTTCTTGCTGGCTGTCTGCAAGGACACATTGTCATTTCTTGAAACCAAGGACACGTTGTCATTTCAAGGAACCATACATTTCTGGTTCCTTGGTCTGATTTTAGTCTGGGACCTCCACCACATGTTAGAGCCAACTTCATTCATTCTGACTGATTAAGTTATAAATTCTTTATGCCATTCCTATCTAAGCCACAAACTTAAAATTAAATGATAACTAATCATATTATATGTGACTTTGTCAGACTTTGTGGTTCCTACATTAAAATCATGTTATAAGAGGGGCACCTGGGTGGCTCAGTCAATTAGGTGTCCAACTTCAGCTCAGGTCATGATCTCACAGTTCAGGAGTTCGAGCCCCGGGTAGACTCTGTGCTGACAGCTCTGAGCCTGGAGCCTGCTTTGGATTCTGCGTCTCCCCCTATCTCTGTCCCTCTCCTGCTCACACTCTGTCTCTCAAAAGTAAACATTAAAAAAAATTTGAAAAATAAAATTATGTCAATGGAAGCAATTTCTTGTTCCAAGGATTCGAGTGAGCTGACTTGCATATAGTACCAATAATAATAATACCTTCATATGAAGGCTAAAAGAAGTTTAATAAAATAAGATGAATCACATTACTTATCAAATACTCATATAGGTCTTAGTATATGTCAGCTATTCTTTGAAGTGCTTTACTCTTTATAATACTTTTGAGTGCTATTCCTATTTGTATGTGAGGAAACTGAGACACAGGTAGGTTAAGCACCTAGCCCAATTTCACACAGCTAGTAAGTGGTCAAATCAGGATTCCAAGCCTGGCAATATGAATATACCATCCATGCTCTTATGTTAATTCCATAGGTTGTATGTGCAGTAAACCTGGATATGTTTACTGTAATTGTGGCTTATATATGGCCGTCAGATCCAGAAACAAATACTGACTTCTTTTTAACTGACGTTTCCTTGTAGGTAGTGAATTGTTTGCTGGCCTCTACAGTGACTACTGGGGCAGAGATGCCGCGATCTTCCGGAGCATGGGTCGATTGGCTCATATTCGCACCGAGCATGACGACGAGCGCCTGTTAAAAGGTGGGGTTGAGGAGAAAAGAGTATGTAAATCAGAACTGAAAACAAGTCTAGAACTCATGAGAAACTTGCCATGTTTTGATAATAGTAATAATACAAATGCCATTGATAGTGTTTTACAAATTTCAGCATTTTTTATTAGTAGTGTTCTTGAAAATCTGCAATATACATATAACATTTTATATCACAATGGATTGACATTATTATAAAACCATGTTACCCCCATAACAATACGTAGAAATCAGAATTTAAATGGAGAAAACCAACTAAATACATGAAAAGCAAAAAAATCCTTTCATCTAGTAAGTAGCTTTGTTTTCTCTTGTCAGTTGGTATAATTTTGGATGAATTGATTCCATTGTTTTACTTGTTTTAATAGGATCACATTGTGTTTAGAGACAAATTAAACCCTAGGAAAATCAGTAGCCATTCATTGGTAGAATTCTTTATAAGGAATAATGTTTATATTTGGGCACCCTGACCTATCCAGAGATTAAAGTATCATTTAATAGTGTTTTTGTTATTTTTAGCCTTTTTATTAACCTTTAGTCATTACTGGCAGCATGTTACCATTAAAATATTTGACATACCATATCAGTCAAGGGGGTTCACTCAGATCCCTTAGACTACAAACAGAAAGACTTAAAATACATTTGCTACCTTAAAATGGTCTTCTGTGAGCTACCCTGATAGATAATCTATGAACTTAAAAAATTGATAAACTTCTCTATTAAAACTTCTCTATTAGGTATTTATGTTGACTTTTTATATATTTGGGAGGAAATTTATGCAGATGATCACCCTCATGCCCCTAATCTGTTCTTTGAATGAATTTTAAGGTATGCTGTTTCAAACTGATTTTTCCTTTCGTGACTCTTATTTTCCTATTAAAATTGCCTCTAATAGTTCCAAACAAAATGTTAGTTTGCAAAGAGAATGGAGATATCTACATGATTTTAGTGTGCATACAACATTTAAAGGAAATAACTTTATTTCTTCATGAAATGTTGAAAGTTACGCTGAAGTGTTTGTGTGATATGTAATATATTAGAATAACCTTGTCATTTTCTTGTAATAGCTGTTTTACTTTTCTTCTACCTTTTTATACCTGTAGAACCAAAATTTGTAGGTTCATATATGATTCCTGACAATGAAGACCGAGATGACAACAAAGTGTATTTCTTTTTTACCGAGAAGGCCCTAGAGGCAGAAAACAGTGCCCATGCAATTTACACCAGAGTGGGGAGACTCTGTGTGGTGAGGACCGCCTTTCTCTCTCATCCATGTGCTTAGCTCACAATTTATGGTCAGGCCTTGGTCATTTGTTCGTTTTTTTTTCCTTTATTTTTTAAGTTTCTTTTTAAGTTTTGTAAGTTGATTTACTTGATAGAGCAAGAGAGAGAGAGCGTGAGCAGGGGAGGGCCACAGAGAGAGGGAGAGAGAGAATTCCAAGCAGGCTCTGCACTGTTAGCACAGAGCTTGACACGGGACTTGAACTCACGAACTGCGAGATAATGACTTGAGCCAAAATCCAGAGATAGATGTTTAATGGACTGAGCCACCTAGGTGTCCCAGTAGGCTTTCTACTATAAAATACTTTCTAGTATTCTGTAGGCTGCCTAAAATCAGTATTTGCCGTCTAATAATTATACTTCACATCTCCTGAAGGTTTGATATTGTTTTTTTTTTTTTTAAATTCATTTATTTTTGAGGGTGGGGGGAGAGAGAGAGAGAAAGAGAGAGAGAGAATCCCAAGCAAGTTCTGCACTGTCATCACAGAGCCTGATGTGGGGCTCAGTCCCATAAACCATGAGATCATGACCTGAGCTGAAATCAAGAGTTGGACGCTTAACCAACAGATAGGCTGTTGGGAGACATTCAAAATCAACTGAAGGAGCAATATATATTGACAGATTGCTAATAATATTACAGCTGTTAAGTTACTTTGATATTTCAGAATAAATTGAAGAAGAAAGTTATAAATACATATGTATAGCCATGGATGTACATTTGTGTGTATATATGTGTGCAAACATATAGGTATGGTGTGTGCATATGTATGTGTATGTAATTCAAGATTTTTCTAAGAGAAAAAAATAATGGTGCTTTTTCTGAGATAAGCAGATTATTTATCAATAAAATAATATTGAAGGTTACCGTTACCAGTGCTTTATATAAGAAACACCAGTCTATTAGCATTCTTTAACACCTGGAAAGTATATTTAATGGACAGAGTAAAAGTATACTAACCAGGCGGAAGGTGGAAATCTCAAAGAATGTTTATGGGGAAATGCATCTGTGGTATTATTTGAGTATTAGGCTCCAGTTTCCAGATTAAATAAAAAAGCTACAACTCTTGCCATCTGCCTGTTTAATTTTGCAAAATTTGTTGTTAAAAAGTTCTTTTTGGTACTCATTTGCATGATTTTGTTTGTCACAGAATGATGTGGGAGGACAGAGAATACTGGTCAATAAGTGGAGCACATTCCTCAAAGCAAGACTCGTTTGCTCAGTACCAGGAATGAATGGAATTGACACGTATTTTGATGAATTAGGTAAATCTTACTGAATTGAAAGAATTAAATGTTACTCTTTGATGTTTGTTCCCCTCAATAAACCCTCACTATCTCACTTATGGAGACTTGCTTCCTGCAGTGTGCAAGTTTCCGTTCTTCTCATTTTGGCCAGGTCCACAAGGTGGGGTCAAAGGAGTTGCAGGAACAGGAGATCCCTCTGTGTAGTTGACAGTCAGCACCTCGTTCCTTCCGTAAGGCCCAGCTCAGAGTCATCCTGAATAGCCAAGTATTTCGCTTTTTTGTGATTTGGTCAGGGTCGTATGACCGTGTATGGAAAGACATTGATATCTTATATCTGTAATGGATTCTTAGCTACTTTATGTCAATATATTTTCTTTACATGCAAAGAGGACTACAAATACTAATGTAATGGACTTTAATTTTCAGAGGATATTTTCTTGCTACATACCAGAGATCCTAAGAACCCAGTGATATTTGGACTCTTTAACACTACCAGGTGAGAAATGCATATGGTCAATAAAAACATTATGAAACAAAATATGCCTTACCCTTTCATGCTGTCTGTAAGTTGGAAATACTGTTGACCCATTGTCATTGTCATTGTCTCTTTTTTATGTCACCAATTTCTCTTTGTTCTCATGTTTGCTAGTTTTCTTTCATTTTTAAAGCCAGGATCTCAGTTCAGATCTGCGTGTCTGTTTGAAGCACCCCAGCATCCTTCTGTGCTCAGTATCCTAATTTCCTCCCTCTCTGACCTACAATAGGATGATTTTCTTCTCATATAGTTTATAAGATCCGAGTTTTGGGTTATAGAGGGTAGAATAATTACTTTAATTGTCATATACTTTTCCGAGTCAGGTTTTCAAACGTCTTTGTCAACTGTTACTCAGTTTTGGAAGTTTTTCCTCTGGCTCTCTGATGTTATGCTTTTAGATTATACCTTGACAGAATCCATGGTTCCCATCACTATGATTTTATTTACCCACCTCTCTTGCTTTAAATGACTGTCTTCCAACACTGGTTTATATCAGTTCACCAGTACTTGTCAGTTGCCATCTATAAGAAATACTCCTTGATTCCTTAATCAAGAGCTCTTAAATAGAGCACTCTCTCTTATGCTCACTCTCTTACTCAGGCTGTCCCAGTCCTATGTGGATTCACAGAGAACATGTATTTATGATTTGCTTTCCATGTTTTAAATAAGATGTTTAAGTTTAGGGCCGAGAATCTATTACTTTTCTCTTTAACATGTTTTATTTTATGTCCATTGAGGAGTGTTGGTAAAAATGAAATACTACTTCATGTGTGGCAGTACATGAATGAAAAAATATTACTAGCATCAGTTTTGGCTGAAAGTTTACACATATAATTTCTTGAGTGTGTCTTTCCAGATAGGAGAGACTGGAGCCGAAATGAATGGAATGAGAAGTAAAGAATATCCCTCAATTCTCTAGACAAGTATAGAATGCCAGAACTCACTTCCTCTTTTGCACTGCACTGGTCTTCAGCTATGTTGTAATTTTTACCTTGTTTGTTCTCGATCTCTCCACAAAGTTGTTTATTTTTTTCAGCAGGTGATTTCTTATGGTCACTTTGAAAAAAAAATAATAAAGTTCTTTTGATAAATATTGTGCAATTGTAAGGAGACCTTCTCTTCAGCAGAGAAATATGGAAACAATTTTGCTATCAGTTCTTCCTTGATGCAAAGAAAATTAGTGAATGTAGATTGGAAGTTGTCACAGTCCACAGTCCTCACTTTTTTTTTTTTTAACTTCATCTTCGCTTTCATGCCTGTAAGGAATTTAGACGTTGCAGTCTAATCCCATGGTTTTATAATAAATAAAAGCTATGGGATAACCAGAATAGTTTTTCCACAGGTTAGTATGATCACTTTGTACGGTACTTTCCTAAATGATAGCATAATGGAACTGTCTAGATTTCAAAGACAACACATTATTTTTTCCCATAATTTCAATTTTGACTGTTCATTTTTTACATAAATCTGAGGAAAAGGTGTCCCAGCTGTTACCTGACTTAAAGGTTGATATTTGTAGCATAGTGATCAAAGGTTTATTGCCACTTTAGTTGGGAGACTATCTCTGGTTTTCTCACTATCGGAGGCATTTCCAATTGCTTCAAGGTGTGTTATAAGATGTGTGAATTGATGTCCTAAGACAGTAACATAACTGCTGCTCTACAGGTGTCTCAGAGTATAGGAACTTTTACGTTTATAAAGAACTATGTGTTGTTGAAACTATGTGTTGAAAGCACTTTCACAAACATTAATTATTTTGCTTCTCACAGTGAGGAGGCTGGGGAAATGTTTGAATTTGTTCAGATAATACCAAATTAAGAGATGTGGCCAGGTTTTTAAAACAAATTATTTAAAAATTTCCTTTTTGCAGAAATTTATCACAAATGTCCCCAGTAAAACCCATTGTAGTCAACTGGTGTCTTTATCCTTTATAAGTAGAACTTTTTATTTAAAAAAATGATTCTAATTGCTGATAGTTCTGGAGGTAAAGATTCTGAGTTTTATACAATTTAAGTCATTTTCCCAAAATTAATCTAGTGTAATCCAGTCATCTTTCCACTCTAGTGCAGTTTCAGTGACCTGGAAGTCACTGGAGAAGGGAACATACAGCAAGCTTATTAATGCCTGTATGACCTAACATAAAGAATGGAACAAAGTCCCAAAGTTTCATGAGACTTTTACTTGTTATTTAATCATATACATTGAGAAATCAAATAAAATTTGAACGGAATTAGCAATACTAACAGCGTAGTGATTAGGTGAGCACTGTCTACTCAGAATATGAAACAGCATACAAGGAGATAAAGCTTAAAATGAATAATTCAGGGGCACCTGGGTGGTTCAGTCACGTAAGCATCTGACTTTTGATTTTGGCTCAGGTCATGATCTCACGGTTCCTGAGATGGAGCCCTGCATGGGGCTCTGTGCTGACAGCACGGAGCCTGCTTGGGATTCTCTCTCTCCCTCTCCCTCTGCCCCTCCCCTGCTCATGCTCTCTCCCTGTCTCAAAATAAATAAACTTTAAAAAAATGAGTAATTCAACTTGGGAATGAATCTTTTTAAATATTCAGGCGATATTTTCCTTAATAAAAAATATAAAGACATAATGTAAGATTTAGAAATAAAGTGAGGTGACAAGTGTCACTTTTTTTAGTCTAACAGTGCCATTTTCAGTTTCTTGTAATAAGGTAAAGAAACGGTAAGTTTTAGAGTTCCAGTACTTGAAATATTGCAGTAGTTCATTTTTGTAGAATATCCTATACTTAAGATGTTGCAACTGTTTTATCCAAAAGACTTTATCCTTATTTCTGTAGTCTGAAGGATTTGATTAGATGACTGCTAGTCAGCTCCAGTATAGTAATTATCTTTTTTTTTTTCCAGTAACATATTTAGGGGGCATGCAATATGTGTCTATCATATGTCTAGCATCCGGGCAGCCTTTAATGGACCATATGCACATAAGGAAGGACCTGAATACCACTGGTCACTCTATGAAGGAAAAGTCCCTTACCCAAGACCTGGTTCTGTAAGTTATCTCATTCAGCATCCTTCCTGGCTTTTAGAAGGAAAATGCCAATACAAAAGTGCTCCTAGAGTTCCAGAAGTTTCACCACTCACCTGTGAACTCATGCTGCTGACATTCTCCCTGATTAGCCAAGCTTTTGTGCTTTTACTTACATGTGTATCTAAAAACGATGATGCCGATGACAATGATGATGAATTTGTGTCATGTGTCCTGTGCAAAACTATGTTGGAAAAATGTCAGCTCATTGTATGTGCTCACAGACCACGGAGAACAAACATTTAACTTGTCATACAAGTCAAAAGTCTACACTTTGTCTTGAGCAGCTGGTGAAAACCCATCGCTGTGCTCATTCCACAAGTACTTGCAAGTCAAGTAGAAACCATTTTTGCAGAGCCACAATTCAAAGTGGAAACAAACCTTACCTCCATTAACAAGTGTAAAGCTTTACCATTTCAATCATTCTCACTAGCTTAAAATTATTACTTCCAGTAAGACATAAAGTATACTTTATTTCACTCTATTGATTGAAATTACAATTTAAATGGAGAAAACCCACTCCTGTGGCTTTGCTGGAAATGCTTCTTGAAACCACATGGTATTAAAGGAGATTTGGAGGAAGTGACTGGTTACTGAACTGCTTCCAGGCTGGTCCAGAATGTTTCCAATTATGTATCATGTAAGTACACTCCAGTGAAAAATTCAGGCCAAATTAAGAAATATGACCTGAATTTTAAAACAGACCATTAAAAATGCCCTCTTTGCAGAATCTGATTACTACACTACTGTATTTATACTCTAAAGTGGAAAATTCTTTATCAACATAATCAATGCAATTGCTGCTGATTCTGGAGGGAAATATACGAAATAAGGGAGTGCTTAATAACAAGCATGAATCAACACACTTAAAGGTATTCCAAGAAGTTACTTAGGTGCTGTTGAACATTTATTTTTAGAGTCAATAAATTAAGAATTTAAGCATGTTTTTGCAAATATTTCTCACTTTCTCAATTTATTGTGTTGAATCCATACAGAAATAATATAAATTCATGCAGATTACAGTAGAATGGAGAGGGTTTTTTTTTTTTCTTAATTAACACTGACAGAATTTAAATAGTTTTCTTTGTTACGGCACCAAGATTGTATAGTCAGTGAGTCTGCTGAAACCATCACCAATCATATTATCTTAGTCTCAATAATGGGAAAACTATTTTGTGCAGTTGTGATCCTTAATTCGGGAGGAGGATTTAGCACAACAAAGAGGCTTTTGCTCTGTTATAAACAATACATGGTTTATCTTCAAAACTTAAATTACAATGTGAAAAAATTTAAAACTTTCAGAAAATGGGAAATAATAACAGTATTTATGATGATATTCATTTTTACCACCTTCAAATTGTACAGTATTAAATATACTTCACTTTCCCAAGATATCACTGCTTTCTGTATTTTTCTAGTGCTGCATGTTTGGGATGATTCAGTCTTTATTTGCAATTGTTAATGCAGATTTTATTTCTCTAATGAAGGATATGTGGTTACTAAGTATTTCTAACTGCAGTTAATTCATTGAACACATCCAGTTTTCTGATTGTTTTCATAATTGATTGCAAATTTGCTCTTTATGCATAAGACAAAAATATCCACTTGTATTGCAGTGTGCCAGCAAAGTTAATGGTGGGAGGTACGGAACTACCAAAGACTATCCTGATGAAGCCATCCGATTTGCAAGAAGCCATCCACTTATGTACCAGCCCATAAAACCTGCCCATAAAAAACCAATCCTGGTAAAAACAGATGGAAGATATAACCTGAAACAAATAGCAGTGGATCGAGTGGAAGCTGAGGATGGCCAATATGATGTCTTGTTTATTGGGACAGGTAAAGAGATTACAAAGTACTGAGACGCATGTACTGAATCTTAAAATCATTAACATTATTAATATTTTTAAAACCTATCAACAAATCTATTAATCCATTAGCCTATTTGTACACTGCTTTTTTTTAATGCTTTTATTTATTTTTGAGAGAGAGAGAAAGACACAGAATCTAAAGCAGGCTCCAGGCTCTGAGCTATCAGCACAGAGCCCAACATGGGGCTCAGATCACAAACCACAAGATCATGACCTCAGCCAAGGTCAGACACTTAACCAACTGAGCCACCCAAGTGCCCCTGCACACTGCTTTTTCTCTGCAGTGGAAGAGAGGATTTGAGGCGGTTACAGCCCATAATTCCTGATACACAGTCAATATCCTTGAATAAATGGATTAGGATTAATTAATTTTCATAAACAGCATTGGTTCCAGACAGAACTTCTCCTAGAGAAAGTAGGCTGCCATAGCAAGGATGGTTCTGCACTCAGTCCCCAGATCCCTTCCCGCCTTTGGCTGTTAAGTAAGGTCTCAAGATTTGTTAAACAGCTTGGGACAGTAACTTCACCTGAGTCTATAATCATAACACTGCTTATCAGGCCCCATCAGAATCATCCATTTGTACAAAAATGGGCCATTTGTTACCCATAATGGAGGCAAACTTTTAGAGCAAAGCTATAATATCCTGCATTAATAAAACAATAAATATGCTGAAAAGGGACATTTTCAAATAAATATATAACTTCAATTCCATACATATAGCTTGTGGAAAAGAATTTGAAATCTTTGAACCTTTTGGCATCTGGATAATAGATAAAAATTCTGTCAAGTACTTTAAAAATCTATAGACATTTAAAAAATCTTTTAAATTATCATTTCTTTTTTTTTATATACATTATAATCATTGCTATAGCAGTTGGTATTTAGAAGAGTAAGCATCCTACCATACGTAACTTTAATCACAGACATAATTCTACAGAGACATTGCATATACTTAGATCAGGAACCAGAATATGATACTAATATTGGTGCTTGGGCCTCTCCACTCACACTTTTTTATTTTTTTTTTAAATTTTTTTTTTTTCAACGTTTATTTTATTTTTGGGACAGAGAGAGACATAGCATGAACGGGAGAGGGGCAGAGAGAGAGGGAGACACAGAATCAGAAACAGGCTCCAGGCTCTGAGCTATCAGCCCAGAGCCCGACGCGGGGCTCGAACTCACGGACCGCGAGATCGTGACCTGGCTGAAGTCGGACGCTTAACCGACTGCGCCACCCAGGCGCCCCCACTCACACTTTTTTAAAAAGTAAAGATTTCAGTAAGGAAACCTTCATCTGATTTGCAGAAATTGATCTCTGGTGTAGGCTGTATTTTATCCTTATTTTAGGAGGTTAATGTTCATGATATTCTCTGCACTGCAGATTCAAGATTAACAAAGTGTCACATTTCTTTAACAGACTTCAAATTACTTGGCCATGAATTCACTCATAGTGACATTAATAGAGCTTTTTCTTTTCAAGAGTCATAAGTAAGAAAAATATTTGATAAAAATTAATCATGGGAAAAGGTATGTTATTTTTAACATATTTATGACCTGGAAAAGTACCGGTCATAAACAGTATATCAGTCCAAGACTGTTTTTAGAAATACTTTCTTGTTAGATTGACCAAAGCTATTTGAGAGAATTCCAGAAATATCAGATAAATATTTATGCTATCATGTAAATGATTTTTAACTCAAAGATACCATCATATTGAGCCACAGCTTTTCAACACAAAAGAAGATATTTGATGAATGTGTGGTGAGTACATTGGAAAATCTCACAAATGATAATGATTTTTCCCTGTGCTTTAATATTGTATGGGTGTGTATAAAATACTGTATATAGGAAGGGTCTTTATTGCAAGTCACTAGTTGCAAATTAATAATTTGAGTTTCATCTTTGTGTTTTGCTTGATATAATAATTTTAAGGTGCTATGTATTCTTGGCTTAAAAATTATAGTTTGGATTCCTTTTCATGTATTATATAGGTAATTTTTACTCATTTTATTTTAATCAAATTTTATTAACCCACCCTCATGATTTGGTAATTTTTAAACAAACTGCTTACATACCATAGAAATTCTTAGACCAGCACCTTCAAAGTGCTTATTTTCCTGAGCTATTTTTAGCACTACACCACATTATTCTTACAAGCAAATTAGTGTCTTATTAAAATTTTTATTGGAAAGAACAAGCTCAGAATATCAAGTATAATAAAAATTAGGTGAAATTTTAAATTATGAATTTAAATTTATAAAATTATTCATAATTACAGAAGTTAAATGATTAGTACGGGAGGACTTATGCTGTTCTCTCGGTAGTATATACTGACATTTTTCTTATTAAAAGTGTATATATATGTAATATAGTACCAGATATAATTGTATATATATTAATATATTTTGGTTTCTCAGTCTTTAATTGAGTTTCTGAATCACATTATTTGAAAAATAATTACATATTATTTGGTCTTATTTCTTAGCCAGACATACAGTTTTTTTTGCCCTTTTTATTTTTATTTTTTTGCCATTTTAAAATATGAATGTATGAGTGGTCATATTGTTTTAACTAACAATGAGTAAAATTTTAATACATCTAGATCTCAAATCTTATTCAAATTCATAGGTGCTGCATGGTTTTTAATTGTTTGAAAACCAGATTGTGATAAGCTTCTGGTTTATCTCTTCTTTTGCTTTCTTACAGATAATGGAATTGTACTGAAAGTAATCACGATTTATAACCAAGAAACAGAATCAATGGAAGAAGTAATTCTAGAAGAACTTCAGATATTCAAGGTATTTTTAGTAAAAAAATAAAATGAAATGAAATAGCCAACATTTATGTATTAACAATTGCCAATGAGTTGCAAATATTAAAGATGCTGGCTCACTTTTATTTTTCTTCTAACAGGTATGTTGTGAATTCAGAGTGAATCTGAAGAGAGAAATGGTTTAAAATCCTGATGCATCTGTTTGATTATTGTAGACTTTTCAAATGAAAATGCTAATATTAACCTAGCTAGCATGAACTGTGACTTAAAGAAATAACACATACCACATACGAATTCCAGAATCATTATCGCAGGGTCTCATTTTACAAATGTACTGTCAACACAGACAAAGCAGTAGGTTTCATATTGTGCACGTTGGGATATGATAAGCATATCGCCTTTTATTATAACATAGCAATTACACAAAGAATTTACTAAAAAAGAGAAAACTGCAAAATGATAATGGAAGGATTAGACATGACAAAAGCAATTGTATGCATACACACACACACACACACACACACACACAGACTCAAGTCTCAATATTTAAGGCAGTTATGGTCTTTAGAATCACCATGAACACTAAATTAGTGAATACTGACTGATGCTCCTATGGGAAATAGAAGGTTACGTTCCTGTGGGCCTCTAGTCACAACAGTTTTGTCAACTGATCAATATACAGCATTGTTCTTTTTGTGTTTTTATTTAAAGACACTTTATTTCACATATAGTTTATTAACTAACATTGAACTTTGTTCCACAGCACTATAACTCATGCCTGAACAAATCTTATTTAACACATGTATTTTCCCACAATGCACATCACAGCCTTTGGAAGCTTAGAAACACTATACAGTGCTTCAACACTTTGCATAAAGGCTGTTTTAAACATCACAATTGCCAACACAAAGCACGAAATAGACCATCGAAAGGACACTTGTTTACAATACAAAAGCTGAAACAAGAAGGCAGAGTGTTGCAATGATTGACCTCTGTTGGGGTCATACTTATAAGGCAACTAAAATGTATTGCTTCTGTGTGCCTGCACATGTCCATGAATGACCACAGGATACCATAAGTATTAATGAAGGGATTACAAATAAATTTAAGCAATTCAGAAAATTTGCAAAAAAAAAAAAAAAAAAGTCTGTAAATTATTAAGATTGACTGTATGTGTATGTAATGAATATGTATGAAAATATTTTTATTGATAAAAAACAGTTCATTTCATCTTAGCTGTCTAGAGATTAGATTCCCCATAGCTGCACCCAAAACTGACCATGTTCCTATCTCAACCAGAGCAGCTATGTTTTTGTCTATCTTGCATATTGGATTTCTCTGTAAGATTTCATTTCACAATAGTGACCATAGCTACTATATTAGGAGCCTTCCCCCACAGTATCTTGTTTATATCAACACTAAAAAACATTATCACTTGAATGAATAAATAAGTGCATGTATGCATTAATAAAGTGTTCTATAGTTTAAAATATTGAAAAAAATATTGACACGGGATCAAATTTTCTCTTTCAAAAAATAATTCTTTGAAGGATAATCATCCATCGTGTAGATCTCACCTGCCTCTTGCTTGTCTGCTTGCAGAACCCTTCTGAGTTGTGGTACTCATTAGAGACCCTCTAGTTTTAATCACCAACCGTAAAATAACACACAGGCTCTCAAAACGTTGTGATAGATTTTCTTTCCTCTGGTGCACTTCTGAGGCAATGAAGTTATTCATCTTTCTCAGAGCATCCTGGGTTCATAGTGTTTGACCACAATAACTCCCAACAGAAAAGTATTCTGATAGACTTGGATTAAAACAATTAAAGGTCACATGGTTTCCTAATAATAACACCAATTGAAAGACATAACTGTTTCACTTCTACTGGTTCAAATTGTAAGAAAGAATGCTGTGCCTTTATTATTTTATTTAGAGATATTTGGGTTTCCCAAACAAGACTAATATTCAAACCCAAATACAAAAATTACATTTCAGAAACAAATGGTAAGCTACTTAGATTAGCCACTACTTTTTTCATCTTACATATCTGTTCTACTCCATTAAAAAGATTTTTTTTAAAGAAAGCTATATTTTAATGTAATTATGTTTTCCTATTGATTTGCTAAAATGAAAGCTATGGACTAGCATAGAACCACTCACATACCTAATAGGAGTTCAGATGATTGCAACCATATTAAGGTATATTCCTATGTTTCTTTAATAACAACTTTAAAAAATGTCTTGCAGGATCCAGTTCCTATTATTTCTATGGAGATTTCTTCAAAGAGAGTAAGTTGTGTGTATGTGTTTGTGTTCTATATGTGAATAAAGGCAAGAATGAAGAGCATAAGTACATGTGTTTATACATAAACAAGTTACAGTTGTATTCTAGTAAAAATACATAGTGGTTTACATGTAATAGGTTTCTTTATTTTCTCTTATTGGAGGAAAGTACATGAGAGTAGATTTACCTCTATAATCATGATAGGATGTTATTCTGTAATTTTTTTGTTAACATTTTTAAGGGCAAAAATAACGGTAATGATGGTAACACAAAAGAATGTGCAGTGAAACACAAACGCCTCTCCGCTTTACTAGAACCAGTTACTGGTGAAACTTTTTCCAGAAGTAGTTGGTACATATATTCCCTCAAATTTATTTATAAATAACCTTTTATGTTTAGGCGAACAAGAACATGCAACGTTCATTGCTCTGCTACTTGTATTTACTTCACAACAGATCTTACAGTTGATTCCATGTCATTCTCTCTGTATGTATCTTCGTTACTCTTTTAAATGTTTAGTGTTAATGTGCACTATTGGTTGGAGTGTAGATTGCTACAGCCAATATGGAAAACAGTGCAGAGTTTCCTCAATTTATTAAAAATAGAACCAGCATATGATTAAGCAGTGTCATTTCTGGGTATTTATCCAAAGGAAACAAAGTACTCACTCTGGAAGCCATCTGCACCCATGTTTATTGCAGTATTATTTACCATGGCCAAGACATGGAAACAACCTTAAGTGCCATCAATGGATGAATGGATAGAGAAAATGATGTATATATGTGGAATATTGGAACATTATTCAGCCACAAAAAAGAAGGAAATCCTTCCATTTGTGACAATGTGAATGGACCTTGAGGGCATTATGCTAAGTGAAATAAGTCGAAGAAATACAAAAACCATACAAACCTACTGATATGTGGAATTAAAACACACAAAGCAACAACAGAAAACGAATTCATGAATAGGACAGTTTGGCAGCTCCCAGAGGCAGGGGATGGGAAGTGGGCAAAATGTGCAGGTGATCCTAAGGTACAAACTTCCAGTTACAAAGGAAGACCTGGGGATGTAATGTATGCCATGGTGATTATACTAAATAAAAACCCTAATACTTATTTGAAAAGTTTTCACCACACAAGAACAATTCTACCTGTGTGTTGTAGAGTGTTAACCAGACTTATTATGTTGATCATTTCCCAATATGCAAATATGGAATCATTATGTATACACTGAAACTAATATAATGTTATTTGTTAATTACATCTCAGTTTAAAATATGAAACATGAAAATATGCGCCTGGTGGCTCAGTCGGTTGAGCATCTGCCTTCGGCTCAGGTCATGATCTCGCAGTTTGTGAGTTCGAGCCCCACATCGGGCTCTCTGCTGACAGCTCAGAGACTGGAGCCTGGTTCAGATTCTTTGTCGCACTGTCTCTCTCTGCCCCTCTCACAGTCATATTCATTCATTCTCTCTCTCTCTCTCTCTCTCTCTCTCTCTCTCTCTCTCCCAAAAATAAATTTAAAAAAACATTAAGAAAATTAAAAAAAAAAAAAGATGCAACAACAAAAGAGCATTTACTTATCCAGTCTGTTATTGGACGTTCCCCCAGGTCTTTTAAAAAGGCCTACAGCGTTAATTGATGAGTCTTTCTATTTAGGTAACAAAAGAAGAGTCAGCTTCCTAAGATTTTGTCAAGCTCAGTTAAGCAGTTTTGTTGCTCGAGCTTCCAGGTCTGTAGGAGTATTTCCCATCTTAGAAAAAATGGAAGTTTCGGTGTTCCATTATCCATCCTCAGTAACTGCAGTAATTTAAATGAATATTCACAGAGGTGAAGATCACTGAAAGTTCTGTCCGTTTCTACTAGTGGCCTCTCTGTTCTTTGATGTCTCTAGCAACAGCTGTATATCGGATCTGCTTCTGCCGTGGCCCAAGTGAGATTCCATCAGTGCGACATGTATGGAAGTGCTTGTGCGGATTGCTGCCTGGCTCGAGACCCATACTGTGCCTGGGATGGCATATCCTGTTCCCGGTATTACCCAACGGGCACTCATGCAAAAAGGTGAGAGAGTCCTCGAAGGGATATTTACCTTGTTTAGAAAACCCATAATATTTCTTAAAATATTTTTCTTTTTGCACACGTTCCATGAAAATACCCATGTTATTTTTGTTTAAAAAATCCGTCATAGTAATGTTTTGTTCATAATACAAGCTTTGAAAGTTGAATTTTCCCTGAAAATAACTCCTGTCAATTACTGTGTGGAGATTGGAGTGGAGCATGCTGCTGAGTCCTTTTTCTTTACTCATGTTTGAATCGACTCTTCTCCCGCCTGACGGTTTTCCTGCAAGACATGAAACCAGTTTGGATAAACTTAAAATGTGGAAATGGCAAGGCACCACACATGAGGGATTCAAAGACTTAAAAGAAAAATAAATAAATAAATTCTAAAATACATCCTGCATTCGCCCCGTGTCCTCTCAACCAGCTGGTCTTCATTTATTTCATTTTGAAAGTGAATATTTTAACTCCTAGGCAAATGCATGACCTGTATAATTAATGAAATGTGTGATTTAAGTCAACACAAATGAAAGGTACTTAAAGACTTCCAAACTCTAATGTCTACAATTCAGCGAGGTCATTGCCACTTGTAAGAGAAGGTAAATCCCGGTATACTTTGAACAGGAAATCTTGAAGTCCAGAAAGTATTTTGAAGGTTGGAGATCTTCCCTCACTTGAGCCGTATGAAATTGTTCATTCTTTGGGGGACAACATAAAGGAAGATATTTTTATTTATTATAGAATAAGCAATTTTTTTTTCTCCTAGTCAAGTGACAGAAGACAATATAAAGCAAAAACATAGGATTGTGTATAGTTTCCTTACTGAAAATTAATTTTTATTAATTTCAGTAATTTTGATTCTTCCACTGTGGGTTACTTCAAACCTTTTTAAAAATCTAACCCACCTTAATATAGTTGTTATTTTTATAAGTTCACATATATAGTAGAATCTCATTTTTAATAAATGTAGCCACTAATTCAGAAGTTTTGTTAACTTGACATTGGTTACATTAACATTCACTCCAATGTTATATATTATATACTTAATGAAATCATTATATACTTAATGAAAGTACGTAATAAACAGATAGTGAAAAGAAACTTTGAGGGGACATTTGTAAACTAAACTTACCAACCATTTTAAAGAACTGAGCAAGGAGCACCTGGGTGGCTTAGTTGGTTAAGCGTCTGACTTCAGCTCAGGTCATGATCTCGTGGTCGTGGGTTCGAGCCCCATGTCAGGCTCTGTGCTGACAGCTCAGAGCCTGGAGCCTGTTTCAGATTCTGTGTCTCCCCTCTCTCTGTTCCTCCCTCATTCATGCTCTCTCTCTGTCTCTCAAAAATAGGTAAAAGTTAAAAAAAAAAAAAAACAGTGAGCAAATTAATTGATCTTGTACAAATGCTTATTAATATTTAAAAACTCTTGTTAAGGAATATAGCCATGTTACTACGTAAAAATACTGTTCAATGATTTATTCACCCATTATGCTAACTACTGTACTATGTGCGAGGAGTATGAAGAAGAAGTCAGTACTCCTTGGCTGCAGGATCAGAACCTAAAGTGGAGAATGGAATTGGAAATAAGAATGATAGCAGGTCACTACTGAGCACTTACCACGCATAAGGTACTGAACTAAGTGCAATATCCATTATATAGTATTTGATTTTCAAAATAACCTTTGAGCTCAGTCTTGTAGTTAGAAATATGAGTCTAGTTAAAGGGAATTTATATAAAAGGCATAGAATGGTCACGGAAAACCATGTATTTCCATAGGTTAGGAGTAAAGTAGCTGGTTTGAAGGGTGGAAAGGTCATTTCACCAAAAATAATACAATTAATTATTTTATTGTTATTAGCAACAATAACAATGTTTGCAAGACTTGAATCAAATACTTATGAATTACAAGTTTTGTATTTTGTTATTGTAATAACATGCAGTAGGGGTGATGAATTCTAACTGAGCAGTTTCCAAAGCTAAATATTTCTTGATACATGGTGCATCTTATTAGAGTAGATATCCACAAGCTTGATGATATATTTATAAAGGGTGGACAAAAAGTTATTTAGTACAAGTTAAATGAAGGGGCAAAATCTTAGGAAGGAGCACAATGTTTGAGTCAGGAGCTGTGCTCATAAATGAATTAGTTCAGTTCAGTGACATGTAATGGAGATCTTTCCATGGTGTCAGATTCTTTTGAACCATCATCCACCCCTGGAGGAGAACATTTTGGATAGGCTCCAGCACACTAAGGGAAAATAGTTTGCTTTTATAGCAGCTCGTTTTTGCTTCAGACCTGACGAGCAGCAGAAATCGAAAACTAGTCATTAAAATAAATACTTTTCTGTTCACAGAGTGAAAATGAGTCAACAGAGAAAAAACATTAATTCACAATCCAAACCACTTGTTTAAAATAGTCTTCCAAAATACACTATAAGTTATAGAGCTAAATCTTTTACTTCCCCTTGCTCTCGCATTTTGTCTATTTCCGGTGTTCTCTTAAAAAGTTTCTAAGTGGCAAGAGATATAAGAAAAATATGTGACTTTGAGAATAAAAGGCCACTTTGATTAACCTTTCTAAAAGTCCTGAACACTTACAGTCTTTTTAAAACCCTGAAATAAAAGACAGTTATATTAAGATAGCATAAAATGAACTGAAACCTTGTTGGGGGATGTGATACCTTTTTTTAAAATGCATTCTCTTTCAGTGAATTTAAACAAAACTTTTGCATGCTTCTTATCCACATCTCTTATCTAGAACTATCCGATTCCATCTCCCCTCACTCTCACATCATTTGTGTAATAAACCTGATACAACATTTCTTCAAAGTAGAAACTATTTCCCATTTCACAGATTTACCCCTGCTCCATTATTCTTTAATGCTCAGTAGACTTTACATTCCCAGGACCAAAACAATACTTAATGGAGTGAGAGATCAACAACAGTGGTATAATTCTTACCCAGATCTGCTCTCAGTTATACATAGCTGTGTACATGCTAGTGTAACACGATAAAGAAGCGTAAAACTTTTAATTTTAGCTCCTTTTTTGTCAAGTTGTTTTTTCAATTTAAATCAATAGAATGATTCATACAGCAGTTTTAATCTTTATAAAATACCATGTTTTTAAGATAAATTCTTCTACAATCTCGATTTTGAAACAGCATGCTTTTGCACACAGGTCATAATTCTAAAAATTGATTGGAAATATTCATCTGCTTTAGCTTATAATATAAGGAAATACTTAAGCCATTGTTTTTCTGTTTTGTTTTCTAAAAGAGCACATGCACGTGCTCATAGGGGAGGAGCAGAAGGAGGAGGGAGAAAGAATCCCAAGCAGGTTTCCCATTGTTAGCGCAGAGCCCAACAGGGCTCGAACCTAGATCCCACAAACTGTGAGATCATGACCTGAGCCAAAATCAAAAGTTGGATGCTTAACCAACTGAGCTACTCAGGTGCCCCTAAACTAGTTTTTTTTTTTAAGTATTATTATTATTTAAGTTAACTAAGATTTGAACTTATATGTGAGAAAGCACTCCATCTCTTGAAATGATGTTCCATTATCATCATTTGGAGCAGTGAGGAGAGCCTAGAATGAAAAAAAAAAAAAAAAAAAAAAAAAAAAAAAAAAAAAAAAAAAAAATGAGACTGGACTAGATTTTAGATGTCATTTAGATAAATTTCATTTTACAAAGGGGACAGAAAGAACCAAGAAACAGACAAGATATGTATAAGATCAAACAACACGTGAGTGATGGCATTGGGATTTGAATCTGGTTCCTTTTTCAAATTTCATCATTGCATATGGTTAAAGCATCTCATTGTCACTTTGGAAGCCTCGCCATCTCCCTCTGTGGTGAAACTTCTGCTTTGCCTTCTGTTTTTCCCTCAATCTTGAAGAAATGCCATGATTTAGAAAAGCAAGTGGTATTTTTTGCCTTTATGTAATACTTCTATTTTTATCTCTAATCTAAATATACTGAGAATTTTGAGTTTAGAATTTCAGTACTAATAATAATTTCTATTGTTTAATCCCTCAGAAAGGTGCTTGCAAATTTAAAACAAGATCTGTATTATAAACTTTTTCTCCAGGGATAAAGAATGTTATTTTTTTTAATTATATTTATAAGCAATCTATAAAATATGACAGTACACCAGAAGTGATCCTAAATCTAATAGGCAGTTTTGAAAGACAGCCTATTAAATATGTATAACACACAATCACATTGAATAGAGGCAAATAATCTCTACACATAATATCTGAATAAAAGAGTAAGTTGAATATATTATTAGTGTATCTCTTTTTATTAAGTATATTTTTGCTATGTGATTATGATGAGAATCGAACAAAATATTTGGGTTCAATTACCCTTACCTTTTTTGTATGCATTTCCATTATATGAAGGAGTTTTATGATTTTTTATTCAAATAGTCTGCCTCAAATCCCATTGTCTTTTTGGCATACCTTCCCTACCACCCAAAACACCCATGTGAAACAGAAGAATTCTTGTGGCACTAGATTTTTAACAAAACATAAAGAGAGCTTTCTTTAATTATTGTTGGAGGGGGTTCCTGGGTGGCTCAATTGGTTAAGCATCTGACTCTTGTTTCCAGCTCAGGTCATGATCTCATGGTTCATGAGTTTGAACCCTGCATCAGGTTCTGTGCTGACAGCAATGGAGCCTGCTTGGGATTCTCTCTTTCCCTCTCTCTCTCTCTCTGCCTCTCCCCTGCTCTCTCTTTCTGAAAAAAAAAAAAACGAACTTTAAAAAAATAATAATTGTTTCAGGATCCAGAATTCAAACTTACATGGACACTTAAAGAGAAGTTGAATGTAGATCTTATCCATTGAATAACATTCAATGAAAATATGGGAAACTATGAAACTTGAATTTTACCCTTGTTTTGTATGACTGATCAATTTTTTTCAGTAGCAGAATACTACTTGTATCTTTTATGTGGTTGGCTGTATTTTAAAGTCTGGAAAATTGAAATCTGAACATCTCCTCAGCACATTTACTTTCTTCCAGGCGGTTCCGCAGACAAGATGTTCGGCATGGCAACGCAGCTCAGCAATGCTTTGGACAGCAGTTTGTCGGTAATCCATAGAAAATCAATTGCTATGGGTTACTCAGGGTGTACGGTGAAGAGACACTGGAAACTCTTTAAAAGGGTCTTTACTTTCTTTGTGATTGATATGTACTAGAACAGTGTTACTGCAAGTATTCCTTTTTTCTTCCACATAGTGGAATTTTAAAACAAAATTTTTAACTATATGTGGACATAGAATTTTTAATTACTTAGGAAAGTAAGTTCTGTATGCCACCACGAAACCTTGCTGTTGGACCTCACAACAGGGGAATCTTAGAAAAGATTCTGCCACAGTGATTTGTAGGACCTCTGTCTCCATCTCAACCAACCCTGGGAATATCTTTACCATGTTACATAACCTACAATAATCTTTTCAAGAGTGATCCAGCTTATATCAAGTCACCACTAAGCTTTGGGATAAAACAAAATGAAAAGCTTTAACTCTTCCACTAGAGTAAGGAAGCCTAGAGCTCAGGCTGATGGTGCAAATGTGAGTTTCTGAGGGAAGGTAATAGGTGGTCTGATGAGTAAAGGATGAGAGGAAATTGCAACTCCAGCAAATGTAAGGAAGTCAGACAACACAGAAAACTACGCTCTTGACTCCTCACACCATGTTGGTGGTTGGAACAGGCTGTGATTTGCATCACCAGTTTTACCAGGAGGTGACAGAGAGATGAAGAATCATGACTGGGAGACCAGCATTGCTTATGCACAGTGCAGAGGTTACACAGCCTCAGTTCGCTAGACCCAAGGCTGACTGAGGGTTTGGTTCAGAATGTAAGCCTCTGAGAACATTGTCTGGAGGAAGGTAAGATCTTCATCTAGGAAGACTTAGGGGTCAGTTTTGAAAGTGAGGAGGACTCCAGCGTAAGGGAAAAAATCCCAGGTTGTGGTTAATAAATTTGATACTGGTTAAAACACCAGTGAATATGTCCACTTGGTTTTATTCCCCACTGCAGTTAAGTGTACTTGCCCATATGCACATTAGAGTTCAAGTCCAGTGAGAGCCTCTCTGGACCAAGATACAGATTATAATCAAGAAGCTGTGGGTCATGAAGTCTGTAGTTCAGTTTTGTACTGTTTTCTTAATGCAGGAACCCAATATCTAGATAAAGTGCAATCCCTTGACAAAATCTCACTCAAGCTTGTGTTTATGTAATGCTGTATCACCTCAATTTCTGCCTTCTATTTTTGTTTGTTACCATGAATTTTGTTTATCCTGTGTCTTACATGAATGTTTGGTGCCCCCCTTCTCTTGCCTGCTTTATCAGTGGATATTGTCACTGATTCTCCATGCATTTAACACTGACGTACTTTCTGACTGACTGCCTGTCCTTTGGACCCACACTCCCAGTTACTTCCTTCTGGTCCTCTCCATAGCCTGCACTACCTTTTTAAAGCCTAGATTTTGGTATGCCATTGTCTCTAAATAACTACTTTAAGTGACTGTGCATAGAAATTAGCAGTAAGTAATGAAAGATACTTTGCTGCAAAGATATAAATAATCTTTTAAACATATTACTGGTAAAATTTAAGTCTTAAGGTTAATATTAACATGTATATTGTAGGGGATGCTTTGGATAAGACTGAAGAGCGACTGGCCTATGGCATAGAGAACAACAGTACTTTGCTGGAATGTACCCCACGATCGTTGCAAGCCAAAGTTATCTGGTTTGTGCAGAAAGGACGTGACACAAGAAAAGAGGAGGTAATTCATAGCTGCGAATTCACACCATGCTGTCTTGCATATGGTGTGTGATAGTAAATAGATGATGATTTATTGGTATTTAAAAATGAATTAGTCTATTATGCTATATATGTGTTATTTAAAGAGTGGATTTGTTTATTGTGTGTGATTTATATACATATAAATATTTTTAAATACACACATTGATTTCTATGTATATACAATTTATAAATGCTATAAAAACCTATGTGTATATTTAAAATGTTCAAATGTATATAAATAGGCATGTAAATATATATACATATGTATATATATCAAATATAAAGTGCCTACACATGTAAATAAATTACATATATGTA